AGAGAGAGAGAGAGAGAGAGAGAGAGAGAGAGAGAGAGAGAGAGAGAGAGAGAGAGAGATGAGAGGGTTGTCCAGTGAGAGGTAGGGATGAATTAGAAGAATATAGAATAACGTACATGTATGAAAATGCCATAAGGAAACCCACTCATTTTATTGCTAACTTGAGAAACTAATAAAAATATCGTTGCATAAAATATAAACTGACTATATAAATCAAAAAGCAGTTTCATGAAAGGAGGAATAATTAATACTTTTCCCAGTGAAATGCTGACTTGCTAATCCCTGTCTAGTGACTAGAAGATGATTACACTGCCTCTACCAGGTAGCCACTGTGTAAGTGCCAGAGGTAAGTTCAACTTCAAGGGCTGCCCAGAAACATAGAAGAGTGAGGGACGAAGGAGAACAGGAAGGAGAAAGGGAACAAGGGATGCTGTGGCTGGAGCTTGTAGGTAGGATAGGTAGATGAAACAATGTAACACATGGTTGTATAACACTTATGAGGCCAGAATGATAACAGCCTGGAGGCTATTCTACACATACTTTGTGACTGGTGAACATTGGCTAACACAGAATATAAAAAAGACAACTGCCATGGGAAATGAGAAATGGTCACATCAGCCACAGCAACAGGATGGGTCCCACTGGAGCTGAGAGTCTACAGACGTCTCAGAGACAAGTGATAGGGCACCTCACAGATTGTGCTTTTGGTGTGAGTGATGAGGTTGGCAGTATTTCTGAGGTACATGATGACTATCATCAGATTGTAATTCTTCCTGAGTCACCTTCCTGGAAAGTCTAAGAATAATATTATTGTTAAAGTGATGTTCTTCTTGGTCCCTGTCATCTTTAAGATAGAAAATTACTCTAAGTAGGGCATGACTTAGCTTACACATTCAAGTAGAAAAGAAGTGGGGGCAAAGAAGAAGGTGGGTGGTGACCTGGCAACAGCAGGAACTCAGTCTTTCATTTCTGTTGATTCTCTTCAATAGCATCTCCATGGCCTAACAAGTGTTCGGAAATTGGTACTCTAACAGACTAGATAATTTTCAGAGTATCTAGGCATACTGATTCACTTTGACTTTCTTCCTGTTTTCTATTCATTGAGTAAATCATGGCCCTTTCTTTTTGTTGTAATTCAAACAGAAATACAGCACAACATCCATCTGCCAAATACTTCGTGGCCCTCTGGAATGTCTTATGAAGATAACTGCAGCCAGATGTGGAATCACTAGGTGATGGTTAGAAGCTGCTCAGCAAACTTTTATTTCAAAACTAACACCTGGATAAAACACTAAGCAATTAGTTCTTGAAATGTAGTTCCCAGGTAACTTGTCAATCATACAAACTCTTAGGACCTACTTTAGACCTACTAAATCCAAAAACATAGGGAGCAAGCAAAAGAACAAAATTTTCACCCTGCAGAAAATTATGATGCAGGCCAAAACTTGAGAACCAGCACAAAATTCATTTAAGTAGCTTCTTTGTAACAAATCATTATCAGCCTACTGAGAGATTTCTCTTTTCTTCATTTTTAAACAGTTCAAAACTTAATCAAGATTTTATAAATGTTGTAGATGTATATATCATATGTGTGTGTATCTCTGTCTACCATCTATCTATTATCCTAAGAAAGTAATTTTACAAACTCTGAAACAAGCTTTATTTTTATATGTAAGTGTATATGTGGTGTATGTGTGTCTGTGTTTGCATGTGTGTACATATACCGTATATGTTCAGGTACATGTGCATATGCATTAACGTGGCAGCCCAAGGTTGACATAAGGAGTCTGCTTCAGTGACTCTCCATCTCAGTCATCAAATTAGGATCTCTCAATTCAACTCGGAGCTCACTGAGCTAATCTAGACAGTCAGTTTGCTCCAGAGATCCCGTCTCTGTCTTCCAAGGCTGGAATTACAGACAGGCCCATCATGCCTTCTTAGCTTTTATTTGGGTTTTGAGCATCTGCTCTTATTTTCACATTTATGAGGCAAGCACCTACTGAACCATCTCCTCAGTTCCCTGCAACAAGTTTTGTCTAAGTAATTGATAAATGGTACGATGGAAAGGCTCGCTCTCTCTCTCTCTCTCTCTCTCTCTCTCTCTCTCTCTCTCTCTCTCTGTGTGTGTGTGTGTGTGTGTGTGTGTGATCTAGATCCAAGCTAGAGTCATCTTGGAAAAGGTAACTTCAATAGAAAATACATCCACCATATTGGCTTATAGACAAGCCTGGGGGGCATTTTTTAATTTATTATTGATGTGGGAAGGCCTAGGCCATCGGCAATGGCGTCACTTAGGTGTAGGTGGTCCTGTATGTTATAAAAGTGCAAGTTGAGCAGGCCAGAGGAGAAAGCCAATAGTCAGTGCTCCACTATAGCCTCTGATTTAGTTTCTGTATCCAGATTTCATCTTGCCAAATGATGCTAGCTTGTAGTAAGGTGGCATAAATCTAACCAGGGCACCTATCTGTGATACACTCTTAGGAAATTTTTGTGAACTGTTTTGAACACATTTGGTGGAATTGACCAAGTTATATTTCATTGTTTTCATAAAGATAAGTCAATGCATTTCACAAACTCCCTTGAAATTCAATTGTAATTATGTGATTAGTTCTGGCCAATGGATTGGGGGTATGAGTGATATGTAACATTTTCAAGAATAAACAAAAGATTAAGCTATAATTTGGTGTAAATGTCCTCCAAGGGCCCAGGTGTTGAAGCTTACTTCTTAGGTGGCACTACTTGGACACAGTAGACTCTTTGAGAAATGAGGTCTACCATGACGCTTTTAGGCCTTTTGGAGACATCTTGAAAGGGATTATGAAACTCTGGTCTCTTTGTCTCTCTGTGTCTTGGCTCTTAATATAAGCAATTTATATGACTATATGCTTCCTCCATGATGTTTACTAGAAACTCGGAAGCAATTGGAGTGGAGTTTCCCCCCTTCCAATTATAGACTTCAGAATCAAGACTCAAAGAAACATTTGCATGAGTTACTTGTCTCAGGTATTGTGATAAAATAGTAAGAACCAGATTAATATCATTGTTTGCTTTTACTCTCTTTCTTCCTCATTTTTAGAAAACTGAAATGGTATGGGTGACTCAGATGTTAATGTACAAGATGATGAAACCATATGGGAGTCTAAAAAATAAGAGGACGTCTGGGACCTTGAAACCAGAGACCTGCTCTGTCCCTGCAGTGTACAAAAGAACAAAGTTATGCAGGAAGGAAGATTTTAAGGAGTGTTAGTTTGGCCTAATTACCCATGTCACAGTGAGCAAGAGATAGAAGAAAAAATGTTATTCTGAAGTTGCCTTTTAGCTATTGAATCTCACTTCAATACAACATTACTCAAGGTCTGGCTATTAGGACTCTAGTGTTAGAAGTATGACAGAAAAGAGATATAACTGTTAAGACGGGTATGAACAAGTGCTCTAGGTGGATGGAGAAAAAAAGACATCAAGCACTGAAAGGGCTGATTAGTATCTATCCTAATGCTAAGTCATTTTATTTTCAGATCCTCCTCTCCTATTAAGTTACACATACACACACACACACACACACATCATACACACAAACAACCATATACACCATACATACACACACATAGAGACACACATACACACCACACACATACACAGATACATACACAATACACACACAGAGACACACACTCACACACATATCACACACCATACACACACATACAGACACACCATACACACACACACCACACACACACAAAGACACACACATCACACACACACACATACACACACACCACACATACACACACACATATAACACATGCACACACATATAACCCATATACACACATACACACACGTCCCACACACCACACACACATATACACACATACACACACATGCACACACATATGCACACATATACACACAAATATACACATACACACATACCACAACACACATGCACATATAGAAACATACACATATGTACACATACACAAATATATCACATATACACACATACACACACACACCACATACATACCACACACACATACAGACACATACCACACACCACATTCATACACACATACAGACAGACACACATACATACATAGACATACATCCGAACACAAACACACATACACACACATGCACACACACCACACACGTGCATATACATACATATACCACACACATATAGATAAGCATACACACAGAGATACACACACACACATATATACATATATATACATACAAACATACACGCACACATACTCACTACACATACATATACAGACATACACCATACATGCACACATACCACTCCTCCCCCCTACCCCGCACACATAGACACACACAGACACACTTTCACATATATCCCACCACACACTAGACACACATATACCACACACCAGAGACAGAGGGAGAGGGAGAGTGTGAGGGAGAGGGAAAAGGGGAGAAGGAGAGGGGGAGGGGGAGGGGAGAGAGGGTGAGGAGAGGGGAAGAGGGGGAGAGGGAGAGGGAGAGGGATGGTGTGAGAGAGAGGAGAATACACTTGTTGGAGGGGGAAGAGGAAAACACTAGCAATTTCCCATTGCATAATTCAGTCAGACATGCAGGAACAGGCCAGTTAGCATGATTATAATACTCTCAGAATAAAAGCAATTAAGCACTGAAGGTTGCCTGAACTAAATACTGAATAGAAAAAGAAAATCAGGAAAACTGACCAGACACAACAGCAGCCATGGCGAGATGCAAGTGTATTTGCAGGGAGTGAGATGTGAAGACAGAATGCTCCCTACCTGAGCTGCAGGGCCAGAGCTGGAGGCAGAATCTTTGCTCTGATCCTGCCGATGAGAGTTGGGAAGACTCCTACCAGCTCCACAACGGTGACATGTCGGAGATCCAGGCCACACTGTGCTTGCTGAAAGAAGAACCGACAAGGGAGGTGTGAGTGGGGCTAAGGAACTGCAGAGGCACCCCTTTTTGTGGGTGCTTCTTTGCCTAGTCCTGAAAACAGTTGAGAAACTAAGGCTAAGTGAGTGCCTAGAAAACCTAACTCTCTTCCTAGCGGAATGATACAAAAGAGCCTGGTGATGGGAGAGAATGCAGTGAGTCCTGCAGTGACTTGACCTGTGTATGTGAGGGTGGGAGGGGTAGGGATGATACTCTGGGAGGGCTCCTCCTTCTCAGAGGAGTAGAGGAGGAGGAATGGGGGAAGGATCTGTGTGAGAGGGGGCTGGGAGGAGAGGGGGCACTGTTATTGGGGTGTAAAGTGAATAAATAAATACATTTAAAGAAAGAAAAACTAGATCCAGAATACCATAGCCAGCCAGATAACCAGCAATTTAGCAAGGGCCTGAGGGAACAGGGATGGTCTAAAGCTGAGGGCTACAAAATCTTCTCCAAAAGAGGCAGATAGTAAATAGTCATATTCACAGTGACTCAATGGCTTTTAACCTACCAATTTGATTCTATCTTACAATCTGAAAACAGCCATAACCAAATATACCGATGAATAAGTGTTACTATGGCTATTAAAATATAACTTACAAGACACAACAACAATAGACCAATTTTTGGTGCATGAGCCAAGGTTTACCTGTGTAGAAGAAAGGTAAGTTTCTTGGCTTATTCTTTTTGTAGAGATAAGAAGAATTCAAGGAATGTGTGGTCATGTCATGCTGCTATGCCAAGGCCCATAAAACCAGGTAAATATATACATTTGTATCTTATGAGGGGCAAAGAAGTTGTGCTGGATAGTTTCATGTCACCTTCACATAAGCTAAAGTCATCTGAGAGGAGGAAACCTCAATTGAGAAAAGCCCTCCATGAGATCCAGCTGTAGGGTATTTTTTTTAATTAGTGATTGATGGGGAAGGCCCAGCCCATTGTGGGTGGTGCCATCCCTGGCCTGTTAGTCCTGGGTTTTATAAGGAAGCAGGCTGAGAAAACCATGAGAAGCAAGTCAGTAAGTAGCATCCCCAATGGCCTCTACATCACCTCCTGTGTCCAGGTTCTAGCCCTGCTTGAGTTCCTGTCCTGACTTATGATCTGGAAGCAGAAGCCAAATAAATACTTTCCTTGCCAAATTGATTTGGTCATGGTGTTTCATCACAACAGTACTAGCACTAACTAAGACATAGGTATACAAGGGCAGGTAGGGTGATGGGATTTAGTAAACAGATTTAGTAAATTTGGTTCTTATCAAGGTAGCCCACACATTTCATTTGATTCTTCTCAGTTCATGGGCAACCTGTTCAGATGACAAAAAGACTGAAAGAAAGATTCATTAATCATTGTATTATGCTGATGTGGGTAGTAAACTGCTGCCTTTGATTAAGTCAAGAATATTCTAACAGGAATAAAGGAGAGACCTGCCTAAGAAGTAAGTGCAGCACGTCCTGCTTCTTGAGTAGTCAGTAACATTGACCACTCATTGCTAAGCAACTGCAAGACTAAATCAGGCAACTTCTAGTGTGATGCTTACAGTTTCTACCTTTCCCCAACATGTTATCTCCTTCAGTAGCAATAAAAATCACCTCCATTCGAGTTGGGGATATTCCCAGGGAGGGATACGGTGTCTGGAGGCCCTTGGATGCCTTTCATCTCCTTGGTCAGTCTATTGGGAAGATACCTGATGGATCACCTTCAGTCTATGAATGTGCTGGACAGGATCAGCAAAGACAATTGTTTTTTGGCTGGGCCTGGACAACATGTCAATTAAGCTTATTAGCAAAGACAGAGAGACCTCACTGGTTGGAGAATGATTGGGTTAGCTCTGGGGAGTCAATGTTAATAAGATTATACACCAGCACCAGAAATGAATGACCGCGTCTAAAGTGCTGGTCCCTTAAACTCACCGTAAATGGATTAGGCATTGAGTCTGGCCTTTGCTTTTAGTGAAGTGCCTGTCTTCTTCCTGTCAGAGGTCTCCCTCCCACCTTGGCTCTGCCTCAAGGCCTCACCTGTAGCATTCCCAGCTGCAGTCTGTAGAGGAGGTTTCGGGCTGTGGGTGTAGACACAATGAGGAGTCGTCTTTTCTCATAAAACTGATCCAGAAGCGCAGCTGCTGTTCTGACACCAACATTGACATTCATCGCTGTAATCGGAAATGGTCACATGAGTTCCAAAGTTCTCTCTAAGTTCTGGCTTGACCTAGCCAGTCCCATACAAAACCTGAGACGAGACTTCAAAGGATAAGTAGTTGATTTGAAAAGTGAAGTCGTGAAGCACCAGTAATGGGCAAACGATGTGCGTGCTTTAACATATTGTATTAAACTTAGTGGCTTAACCTAACATAAATTCATTGTTCTTTCAACATGGCCATGGAGAACATGAGTTAAGGTAGTTTAATTATAGTTCTGACATATAAACTGATGATAAATGACAAACAGCCCCATGTGATTGGTTCATGATACAGAACATCAGTCTGGCCCTGAAGAAGAAATAATAGAAAACAAATGAGAACAAGTTATGTAGATTTTTATGAAGTTGTTGCTAATATTAAGACTTTTTAGGTTTGCTTTAAAATCATTGTTTACTTACATTTTCATTTGGTCAACTACACTGAATGGCTGCTATGTGCCAACGTCTGGACCATTGCTCTGGATAAGAGACAGTTATTTTCCCCAAAGTTGCCTTTGGGGTTCACAGACTAGGACAGCCTTGGTCAATATAAATAGAATTTAAATGATTATATAATTTGTTTTTTTTCTTGTAGCTTCATTATGATTGTACAAACAAATATGTGACAATAGCTTTATATGTCAATGCAGTATATCCAAATATTTCAATTTGAAATCAGTACAAAAAAGTAGGAGTGCTTTATATTCATTCTTTATTGTGCTAAGACTTTGAAATTGGTATACATTTTATGCTGACAACATACCTGAATTCATTTCAAGTGCTTCATACCCATATATGGCTAGTAGGTACCATATGGACATATAGACATGAGATTTATTTGAGAAGATACTCCAGGTCTCGGTGCCACAAAAATAGACATTAAGTACTTTAGCTGAGGAGTCTGAGATGTTATGTAACCTTTCTGCTTTAATATATGAAATTGAAAAGCTTTATCCACCTGCTCTGAGTGATAGAGTTAAAGTGGGGGAAAGGAAGAGATACCTGGGATTAAGAAAAAAAAGAAGCACAAATAAAAAATATTGGTCTAGAGTCATAGGTAGTCTAGATTTTACACTCTCAGCTATACCTAGCCCAATTGCTACTCATCTGTAAGAACTTTCATATGTTCAAGGCTTATCCTGTACAAGGCACTGCTCTATTCCAGCATTCAGTAGGTGATCAGTTAAGAGAGTTATGGTTTCCTCATTTTACAAAGGACGAAGGATTCCAAATGCCCAAGATAAGTATGACATTCAAGCCAATGATGCAAGATGGGAATTATACTGTGTAAAGACAGCAGTTTATAGGCATTGAAAACTAGATCCTCCACCTGTAAAGTAGAGGGATAAAGGTAAGTAAACAGTCTGTTGGCTTATAATACCACTATAGGCTAGCCCTGAGTCCTGGCCTCCCAATTGTTTCATCAAAGATGTGGAAGAGTGATCAGAGAACAGGCAACAGCAAGACAAGGAAGCAGATGAGTTGAGCTGCAGCAAGGACTTAGCATCTTTGTCCATCCACTCAGATGAGCAGAGATGATGCTGTATTTTATGACATACAGGATCTAAAGCTGCTATTGACCTGACTTGGAATCAGGGGGTTTCTGATTCTGCTGCTAGCCGGAGAAAGAACTGTACACGTACCTGCACAGCTGGGCTCTGTGCCAGACCAAGCCAGATTGGATTGGCATACTCGGGCAGGACTACCCTGAAGCTCATAGCCGCCAATACAAGAGAACTCACAGGTGGCTCCATAATTGTCACCATCACTGGAACACTTCATGTACCCATTCTCTGGGGCATTGAGCTTGCCACAACGTCTGACTGTAGGAGACACAAACCCAAAGTAACCTTAGTCCTAAACATGCTTCCATAAAGTAACCAGAGAAGGTGAAATCCCAGCTTTGTTATGAAGTTATACATCAACTAGTGAAATGAGTTCTAGGCAGTGATGGCTATTCTCTAATGCCCCATAGTGGTTTCCACCCATACCAGCGATATCTGTGAGATAGCAGCATTAGCTTCCTCATGTTATAGATGAGACTGGTCTCTGACTAGTAAATAATACTGACAAGCTGCCTAAACCATGAAAGCAAAGCTTTTTAGAAATATTTTTCCTCAGATAGACCAAAGGTTTGAACGACAAAGAACATGACCTTGTAGTGGCCTAAAGGAGGGGACTTCTTACTACTCTGGCCATTGCCAGTATTTGAGATATTAGCTCAGTGACAGAAAAATTATTCTTCATGAATAGGTATGGGCTCCTGTGAAACTAGTCCTATTCCCTATATAAGCTACTCATATTGAAGTCCAGGCATTAAGATGGAATGCTTCGATCAGCTTCATGAAAACCTAATCTATAGCAGGCGGTAGTCCTACTACCAGGGGCATTCAGAGTGCTCTGGCTTGAGGATCCGTTCCCTCTTTCTTTGACTTTCCAGTAACTGGACAAGCAGCAGGAAGCAACAGTCTCACCTCTTACTTTAACTCGAAACTTGCAAGTTCCCTTGTTCTCAGCTCTGTCATAGACTGTGTACTCAATCTTGTGGTCTCCTTCTGGAAAATTCGAGCCTGGAGGAAGGCCTTTCAGAATAACACTTAAGGAAGAAAGCAGAAATATCCAAGATTATGCTTGTGTACCTAAAATAGCAGGTATTGAGTGCTGAGTCTATACAGGACAGAGAGGAGAGTTCTGTTAAACAGCAGCCTCTGGGGCCTTTAACCAGAACAGAGGTTCTGCAAGGAATGGGGTCCCTTGAGCTTCCCTCTGTTTCACAAGAATAATTTGATGCCAGAAAAATAGAAGTACCCAGCTAAGGGGCAATTCACTTTGTTTGTTTGCTGCTGAGTGACAGAACAGGGGCCAGGGGACCTTATTTCAGGCCGAGCCTGTATGTCTTACCTGTTGGGCAGATAACTCAATGTTTTATGAGGAAAAGTATTTTGGAGTACATTTTAGGTGGCCATTTGGCAATTTTGGCCTGTGACAGGTAGTAGAGTGTCCTTTGCTTTATTTTATTGGCATCAGTGGTGACCTTTCTGAGCAAATGGTAAAGTCTCTGTGAATCCTTGACTATCCTAATACTGTAATAGTAATAGCAAAATCTGTGGTTTGCTTTATATAAATCTTACACACATCAGGTATGGTTTTATTATTTATTATTTAATTTAATTCTCATGGAATTCCTATTGGAAAGGTAAAAGCCTCCATCTCACAAGTAAGGAAACCAAGACAACAGAAGGCTAAAGGGACTTGGCCAAGATTGCACAGCAAGGGGGTGACTATAGCATCAAGCCTAGCTATTGGACAACACTCCTAGCAGATATAACATAATCAAATGACAGGTTTTGGTTAATTTGTAATATATAAAAAAACCTCCCCTTCTCATTGTCGTTCCTAGGAATGATGATATTTGATAATAATGGGCATGTAGAAGTAACATTGTCACCATTAAGGAAAACTATTCACTTAAGTATGACATGATTACAAGGCACATGAACTCAGAAGTTCCACACTTTTGACTTTAACTGCCTTAAGATCCTTAGCTAGCAAATGTAAATTCAGATAAACCCCAAAAGAGTAATCACTCAAATATGAGTAGCTGCTAATTTCTCTGAGACTCCGTTTCATTATGAAAATAATAAGAGTCACCAAGGGGACTGAAAAACAAACACCCATGTTAGAGCTTGCCCTTGGAAGCAGACTATAGAAAAGTAGCTTGGACAAGATGCTGGGGAAAGAGAGTCCCAGGACATGTGCTAGGAAAGCAAGAAGCCCAAGCATGAGTTGAATAGGGGCCAAGTCAGCTTTTCCTGAACACATGCTACCATAGACTACATCTAAGTAGCTGAAGAGAGGGTTGGGGGCCACCATGGTCCTTTTGTTAAGTGTCATCATTTGAACCCTAATAACGGATCCTCTCCAACATGACAAAGCTTTTAGACAAATGAGGGGTCATATGGTAACCTGACATTATATGTTTTGAGTTTACTATATAAGACTTCCACTGTTGTATAAATCTAAGAGCTGATTGTATTCCAGGGGCTGAATCAGGCGTTGTACAAGATTGTCAAAAGTTCAGGATAAATAGTGACCATCCCCTAGTTCCGTCAACTCTGACTTGATTTTTCTAGATATATTGTATAGGAATGTTCGTGTGTGTATAGTGAGTTGCTTTAGTCATACAGCCTGCCTTTCAAACTCAATTCCATAAAGCTTCTCTAGGGGGTTTATGATCAGTATATGTAGGAAGAGTAAATATTTTTAATGATAAAACTTTATCTTTGAGAAATTACAGTTGAAGACTCCTCATCCTGTTATTTAAAGTAGATGATATACTGGGGGATTATTACAATATAGGAATAATGTGAATAAGAGACTTAACCTCTCTTACTACTAAATGTTATGCTATTGCTAACAATTGTGTACAGAACTCTTTTGTCTTGAGCCTCACAGGTTTGACAAGATTCTAGAAACTCTGTCCCTGCCTCATGGCCCCAAATGACATGTCAGAAGCTTATTGTCCAGGTATGTGACCTGTATCAGGAGATCTAAGTGAGCCATGAACTTTAATTGATACATGGGCATGCTGGTATGAAGTTGAGGTCTCCTGGAAAATCCTGTTAAGATACAGATCCAAATGGTGTATTAGAACAACATGTGACTGCCTTTCAGTAACGGTGACTACCCATTACTCAGCTGGACATTAAACTATGAATGCAGTGGGACAGGAAAACAGGCTTGGGGCGGGGAAGGAGTCGAAGGACACCTTCAGTTGGATGACAAGCATTTAATGTGCTCAAAAGGTTAAAAAATTGAAAAGTTTTGAAACAAGAATAGACAATAAACAAGGAATGAAAAAGTTCTTCATCAAACCACGGAGTAACAAGGGGCACAGCATTTGGCTTAGCATGTGATACACAGAAGCCTCACCAATGTGTGTGAGGGCTTAGGAGACCTTGGAACATGAAAAGGAGCCCTTTTTATAAGCAACAGGAGAAAGTGGATCCCTGAATTAACCAGCTACCTTCTTTCTCATTTGCTTCCTTCCTTCCTTTCTTTCTTTCTTTCTTTCTTTCTTTCTTTCTTTCTTTCTTTCTTTCTTTCTTCCCTCTACCCCTTCTTACTTTTCTTCCTGTCTTCCATCAATAAATATTAACTGAGTGCTATGTGCCAGGTACAGCTCTTGCCTTTAGGCATGAGGTACTGAACATATTATAACGAAGACAGACAATAAAAATCATATAAATAAACTCTATAATATATTAAATGATGGCCAAAGGGTACCAAGTCTAAAACATAAATAGATTGGTGTAGATACATTCCACTCTTGGTAGTAAGCTTTTCATATTCAGGAAATGTTCTGACATTTCCTATGAGACAACATAGGCTGATGATATAACTCAGTACCAGTGCTTAATTAAAATGTATAATGCTTCAAGGAAGGTGAGGGAGAGGGGGAGGGGGATACAGAGAGGGAAGGAGAAAGGGAGAGGGAGAGGAAACTGCCAAGTTTCATATTTAACTTACTCAGTAAGAATCCCATCTGCTGTATCTCTTCCCTCTGGGGTTTCCCAGGACACCCGGACTGTCAGCTTATTGGGCTCAGCTATACGTTCTTTCACACTTGGGCACTTGATTCTAGGAGGTTCCATATCTTGAAAACATAACCCAATCAAGAAATAATATGTTAAACTGGTGGCCGACACCCCCAGTCTGACAAGTCAAGACCTCTAGATACTTGCCCTTTCTGAAGAGACCGTTCACTCTAAATTTCTCTTGTATCCTTTCATCCTGCCCTTTCTAGCCTGCTGAGTTTTAAAGGCCATTTAGGACTTACCTGAAAAAAAACAAAACAAAAAACCTGCCATCCTCTGCTGTTGCTAAATATACAGTGTGTCCATTTCCTAACTCTGTACACTGAATTGGCAACAGTACAGTTACTCAATTAAAGCCAGAAGCCATTCAGCTTTAGGGACTGACTTAAAGACACTCGTGTAGAATACCAAGTAAAGGTATCATCACCTGTTTAGATTCAACTGGCTGCAACAAATCTTTCATGAATGCCAACTTTATTCAAGGATGTCATTCCAAATGCTGGCGTTGGAGATAGAAGTGAATCTGGTGCTAAGAATTTATCAGAGTTTATAATGTATTAGGGTGCTTATTTCATCACATATTAAATCACATATAACAGGAGACAGAGAACAGCACTATTCTGGATAAGGCAAACTTGAATGCCATGGATAGGTAATAGAGCCCACCTCTCTCCGTTTACATATGGTCACACTGAGGCTCACAGGGTTTAGGTACAGTGTTTGAGTTACTCCGCCCCCTTCCCTAACAAGATGGGTTGATAATGAGGGCTGGAAATGAATGAGATGTTAATTCTACATTGGGTTGTTGCCTCTAATTAAAGCTGAAGTGAAATCACAAGAGGAAATTATAGTTTACTGGTCCTTGATGCCAAGAAGTTAGGGAATGTATTTAAAGACAGCGTGCAGCAGTCAGCTTTGCATTGCTTCACAGATCACCCAATAATTATCTAAATGCTATTACAACCTAGGTAAAAGTGAAATGTCCCCTCTGGTATTAAATCTCATCACCCAGAGACTAAAGGCATCAAGTAAATGTCTTCACATACTTTCCCCAGTATCTTATCTAAGGATTTCTCATTTTATGTAGTGTAAAACACCTGTGAATATTGAATATTTTCTCAAACAGTTTTACCTTTGGTTATCTAAATTTGCTTTCATCCTGTCATGCTTCAATGGACTGTGAATTTGCAGCCTTATTACATTGATCTGAAATTGAGTAACTATCATATTTCGTTGAATTTAAGTCATGATCAAGTCTAAGAAGCATTCCTGCTCCAATGATATTAAAATGTGAAAACTATGCCTTAAAAATTAATAAAATAATTATGTATATGCTGAAATCTATCTGAAGTATCCATTTGCAGTTAATAGGTTCTTTAAAATAATCTTTTTTTTTTCTTACTATGCTAGGTAATACGAGACATGCTTTCATAATTCAGGTGAGTGTTCCAAAGTCTTGGGTGAACCAGAAGGACAAGTGTTGAATGTCTGCTGCTCACTGGTCAGAGAGAACTGACAATCACTTTCTAGAAAATATGCTTATATAAAAGGTAGAACAGAAACAGAGGGGCTGAAGACAGGTTACTGATTTCCATGTGAAATTACATTGTGTTAGCATTTATAAGAGTGAAGAGAGGTTCTTGCTCTCTGCAGCAGGTAAAGTAAATGTGACTGATACACTGTTTTTCTTTGTGTCAACTAGGTGAAATGACAGTGCAAACAAACACACTTCAAAGTAGGTTATCTGGGGTAAGTCTCAGAGATTCCCAAAGACAGCTTGTGTCTGTCTAACAATGACCAGTCAAATGGGGCCTAGTTGTTCAGAAAGAGAGCTTCTCCAAACACCAAAAGAATAAAAGCCACACCATACAGGAAGTAATTTTTTCAGAACCCTATGTTCCCAATTCATGTATCCTAAGTGCTCCTCTTACATCTGCTCATTGAATTTTCACACCTAATATTAAGTCCTAAGTAAACTACTAAATATTGTTATTAGCATTCCCATATATACACTGGAAAGCATGTCTTCTCTTTTGGAATTTCCTTGAGGTCTGGTGTTTAAATGCATTATTCCATATTTTAAATAAATTTAAGAATTCAAATGCTCCTTTACGTGTGTGTGTGTGTGTGTGTGTGTGTGTGTGTGTGTGTGTGTGTGTATGTGTGGTTATTGTTATTGGGGTCCCGTGTATGCTCCACCATAGGGCACTGCCACTGGGGAGGGGGGACACAGGAGTTTTGACCACGCTTACCCAATGCTGTCCAGGCGAGTGTTCCGGGTAGGTGTTGGGCTGTAGGGAAGCCCCGAGACACCACTCCAAGGGTAGGGAAGTACAGTCTGAGGAAAGGAACCACCGGAGGTAGCTCGGGGGTCTCTGGGCCTACAAGGAGGCCAGATCGTCTGGTTCTCAGGCTCTTGGACACCCACGCAGCACTGGGAGCCACAGACGAGCTGAGAATGGAGTGGGAGCCCACAGGCTGGATCTGGCCCAGGGGAGGGGGGAGAGAGGGGAGTTCTGGCCTCAGGAGAGAGTTCTTGGCTTGATGTCTGTGGTGGGCTTGAGCTTGGCTTGTTGGTGGCCGTGACTGGGAACACAGAGAAACCTTCTACGGGAAATTAGATGGTGGCTCTATAGACAAGCCTTTCTCCATGGCTCCCCACAACGGATCCCGATGAAAAAAGGCAGTCCATGGTTTTAAGACATTTATAGTCGTGGCTGAAAGTGTATGAGTAAAACCATACCCCACTTCTCAGGGCGGGCCTGAGATTAAATACCTTTTACAGGGAGGAATGTCTGGAAAGAAGAGTTTATTGGCCAAGTCCTCCAGGTCTTTAGGTACCTCATTAAAATGGAGATCTGTCTTGAGCCTATGTGATTACAGGTCAAGTCCTCTACCCATGGAGGGGTTGGGGCATTGCCCTTAGGTGACTGATGGCCACAAATCTATGGTGGGCTGCAGCTAGTGACAGGGTCCTGGTGCCCAGGAATCAGGTGAAGGGCCTATCATCCCTTCAGGGTCACCGAGGTTTCTAGCCTTAGCTCAAACAGGAACCAGGCTGCCTTTCACACTCCCATAGATGATGATGATGATGATGATGATGATAATGATGATGATGCTGATGATGATGACGACTTGGTGTTTGCACTCAACCTTTTTGTGCATAATTTTTGAAATTGTTTACCACAGCTTCCCTATAAAACCTCAAAGAGCATCAGAAAGACTGGATTCTAAAGCCTCCTTAAACAACTGCTTCTTTCTCAATTGATAGGACCAGCCCATGGATCAGTTGATGCTCCAGAGAGCTAAGCTTTTTATTACTCAGTTACCCATAGCCACCATAGCTTCTTTAAGTTAGGATAGATTTCCATGCATGAAACAGAGAAAGTTACTATAGAAATGTAATTACTATTCCCCTTGAAGTCCAGATGCTTGCAAAGTCAGTTATTGTGTGGAAATGCTGAAGCCCCTGTGAAACTCATACTCTCTGTTCTATGTCCCATTCACTGAAGATATTTGACAAATGATGTCCCTTCTCTGTGTTCCCCTTTTTCTTTCTGAGTTAGAAAGTACACTAATCAAATATATTGTACTGTATCAACTTTGGCAGTAGAATTATTTACCCAGGAATCTTTAACATGGTTAACCAGACAGGTGCTTGCAATAAGGAAGAGCTTCATGGAAACAATGTCTTTGTCAACAACTAACAATAAACTCAAAGATCCTCTGTCAGCCTCAGACCTAGGTTATTGTTATAGAATCTGGGACCTTCAGATTTCACAGGTTTGGAGACAGTTGCCATGAAAAGCAATTCAAATGGTGTTAGTTCTTGGATGGAGGTAAGAAAACAGAGGGCTGTTGTGAAAGAACAGGGAAAGATTGAGACTTAGTCAGACTCTAGTCAACTTACCTTTCCCGAGTCAAAGTGATTTATATGTTTGGGAAGCCTGTCCTGCATCCCCTAGTCCCTTAAATATTATCTACTTATTTTATGTATGTGAATACACTGTAACTGTCTTCAGACACACCAGAAGAGGGCATTAGGTCCCATTACAGATGGTTGTGAGCCACCATGTGGTTACTGGGAATTGAACTCAGGACCTCTGGAGGAGCAGTTAGTGCTTTTAACCACTAAACCATCTTAATCACTAAGTCATTCCTTAATCATTATCACCTGAGCCATTGTTAGGACTAGCAGAGGGCAGTCACCCCTATAGAATGCTACCCAAATTTCTACCTCACAGCATCTCTTTAATCAATAAGTTGGCAGTTTGAAACCACTTAGTTCTGGTCTGTTATGGCAACAGATGAATGAGACGAACATAAGAGTTTGAAGGCTGGAGGGAAGGTATCTGAGAGGAGCTGGAGGGAGGAAAAGGAGAGGAAAATAATGCAACTGCATTTCAAATAGATGTATATTTTTAAAAAGAACTTGAGAGTGATGATGGAGGCCAGAGCCATCAATCTCCTGAGGCCACATGAAGTGTCTGACTGCCATAGACAGAACACAACTTCTCTTTGAAAATTTGCCCAATTGTTGTTTTCTTTCTCCAGCCAGAGGGCAATGCCTGTGGATGGCTCTGGGAATTAGCTCCATTTCTTTGGCACTACACGACTTCGAGGAACTTTCCAGAAACAACAAAAGAAACAAGAAAGGAAAGCAATGAGCAAGCACCACAAGTAAAGATGCCCAACCGCAAAGTCATTTATATTAGAGCTGGCCACTAAAAGTTTGACTGTTCAGTTATAGTGGTAAACCATGAGAGGCAGAAATGTGACCAGTATTTCCATCAACCAAATGGTTTTAAAACTGAAATCAGATTCCTGATGGTATGTATATTTGCAAGCTTGGGAAAATTTATATGAGATCATCTGTAACAATGCCCTGGTGCATTTATTCTTAGCTGTGCTAGTATTTATAGCAGTGAACACATGAATTGTAGCTCAACAAAAATCCCCATGGGTCACTGGTTAAACGAAGACATCAGACAGCAAAATGTCGGCCATAAATTTCCACATCTTATCTTTCAAAGAACGTTTTAATTCCTGGATTTAACTTGTGTTGCTGAATCCCTGTCTACTTTACTCTATAGGAAATATTTTTAAAAAGAGAGGAATTTCAACGACAAATCTGGTTTGTACATTGTCCTTTGTTGCAGAAACAAAATAGGTACTCTCTTCACGCCAAAAGGCATTTGCTAATTTTTCTTTACCTATGACTTTAAAATGGTCTTTAAATGTTTTCTTCCTGTTTTGCAGTAGGAAAATGCTTTGGTTAATAGCAGAAAGGTGTGTCTTTAAGCAGCAAGATGTAGTCTTTAAATTAAGATTTGTGTTCATTCTTACTGTTCATTGTTCTCTAGAACCAAATTAATGAAATTCGACAGAAATTAAAATGCCTTACACACAGTGCTAGCTCCAGTCAGTGGGGGGGGGTCTTCTTAGCTTCTTCACCCCTACTGCAGCTTACACTATGCTTCCTTCCACCCATAGGCTCCTATTCACTTCTTAAATAGCTGAGCTTGACTTTAGTCCGAGTAAGAGAATTAATTTGACTTGTGGCACTTACAAATTAGCCAGACCTTAGAACTGACCATCTCAGAGTCAAAGAAAGCCCAGTCTCCTCATTCCTTCCCAGTCTGGAAGAGAACTGGGTTAACTTTCTCAGCACTCAGCATAGTTCTGGCCAAAATGTGCTGTTTAAGGTTGAGTGGAAACCTGGGAACAACTCAAGCACCATGTGTCAGCTCCTAAAATAGGAAAGCCTCTAAGTTATGCTCAAGGAAGCCTTGTTCCTGCCCGCACACAAGCAAACTTAATAAAGTCAAAGGAATAAATGATAGCTTTGGAGTAAAATTCACTGGGGACAAACTCCAGTTTGTCTGTCACCAGAATCACATTGCCAGTTTACTTTGTCTGTTCTTGTCATTTAGCGTGGCGCTCTAAGCTCTTGGGTACCCTGCACCCCCTTTCCATTCCCACCTAGTTGCATACCCAATTTCCATTCTTCCCATATACTTGAACCTTATCTCGGCAAATGGGAAGATAAATTGACTGAAATTGGGGTTCATTTCTTACTTTCTTCCCTCTCCCTCTGAGCAAGTTCCAGGGCCATCTGGTCTGGCTTTAGACACGCTTGTTGCTTTTTGAGAACAATCAGCATTTTCTTTCCATTGTTGTGCACAATCTGGAAATCTGAATAGTTTGTCCCTAGAGTGCCCTGCCAAAAGCTTGCTTAGCAAAAAGCGTTTTGGGCTTCTCCTCTCCAGCACCATAATCTCTCTGCTCCTTCCAATAAGGGGGAACTGAGATTTGATTGGTTTCTTTCGGTTTGTTTTCAAGAGCTAGTTTACACACAGAAAAGCACGAGGAGATACCAGAGACAGCATGTGTGAGGTGCCCTTCTCCTCTGAACACATGGAATTAGTGATGGACATGTCTAGATCTCACCTTCTCAGCACACTCTGTCCTCACTGAGCAGGGGCTCTCTGGACAATAGGTACAATAGGATTCAGGAGACACTGCATATTCAGAGAAAGGTGATTCTGCCAAACACTTCGTTGGCACTCAGCTTTGCCATATCATCCCCTTTAGGGTCAGCACTGTGTCTTAATATTGTAATACTGGTGTGTATTCCTTTGTCAGTTGGGTGCCACACTGGTCTCAGTGACATGAGAAAGGGGGCAGAAAAGCAGTAGAAGCCACTGTATTTCTATAAGGACCATCAGTGAATATTTCCTGAGCTCTTCCTTCTCATCCATCCTGATGTTAAATTACTAGGGTGTGAATTGCTGTGGCTGACTCCACCATTTCACTGTTGCGCGTCTAGCCTGTACTCAATAGTGGATTCTGTCTGTAAAGAGTTGTCAATAATCACATTGTAATAGTCAGTCTTGGATGCCAAGTTCATCGATTTGAGAACTGACGAGGGAGCTGATGAGACATTCCACTGCTGAAGCATATGTCTAGCCTTTCCTACGCTTTTGTCACCAGGTCCCTCTGGTATATTTCATTGTGAAAAATTTAAAATGATTTTTGTCCTGATCACTGCCCAATTAAAAAAAATTAAAAAATGAAATATTTGAGTCTATTGTTTTCAAACGGATTAAAGCTATGGTATAGGCTATGACTGTTAAAGCACGATATTGATTATATCTTCAAGTGATTTCTTGTCATAACATCAGAGTAATAACAAGATATTACCAGTAAAGACAATGGACAGCGCTGCCATCATGGAAAACTTCCAAAGCCTCAGCCAGGGATGCTATCTCATATTGGTCTCCAGAGGACACCATCAGATTCAACTCCTGATCTTGAAGTAACTAACCCCTGCCTACCCCTGCCTACCAGGACACTGAGCAATCAAGGAATCCCTATGATAAAACATTAGGAGACTAAACCAAGCAGTTTCTGAAGAATGGGCAAACACAGGCAGGATAGGACCCAGGTTCCTATAGCCTTTGGCATCCTAGGACCAAATCAATCCCTTGATTTAGCAGCTTCATCACAGAGAACCTGGGGCATGATCTCAAGCATGGTCTTGTGCAATCTCAAGCAAGTCAAACAAGGTCTCAGCTTTCATCTACAGAAAAGGGGGATGGGGAGGAGTTAGGGGTGAATATGACGAAAATACATTGTATGAAATTTTCAAAGAATAAATAAAATTCTATTTTAAAACAATGTAAGGCTGGGTTTTAATGTAAGGGCCTGGCAGCTCTTACAGTCTAAGAGGAAATAATCTTCTGCAACAGTGGTGCTCAATCATTTGCAGAGGAACTTCAGAACAATATTAGTCTTCAGAGATTCAGCCTCCAGTGGCAGTCAGCGCAGAAAACACTGCCCTGCGACTAGGTGCCCCAATAGCTAAAGAGATAGCAGAATCCAAAGGTGCAATTTGGTTTTAGGTCTGCAGGATCTCATGGATCTACCTTCTAAGTGTCTTCATCCTAGTGCTTCTGATCTGAGGACAGTGGTTTAAAGATACTAAACCCCTTCTGACATTTTAACTCCTGCTTCACCTCACTCCAGAATTATCTCCACTGGCTTTTGTAGAAGTAGATTGTTGGGCTCAACTCCAGAGTTTCTAAGCTTGCCAGTCTCAAGATCAGGCAGGAAATTTGCAATTTTGCTAAAGCTGCTTCCAGACACTGATCCTGGATCTCCAGCAGGAAAATCATCTGACATGCTTTTAGAATCCTGTTGGCCTTCTCCAGATGCCTCTTTTTCAGGCTACTTGAATCAGAATCTCGAAGGTAGGCTACTGAAAGGTACCCATGTGGCAATTACACATAGCTATGGTAAAGATGCACTGTCCCTAGGCAAGTGGTTATCAACAGAGGGGTTAATTTTCTTCCCCAGGGCCACTGAAACATGCCTAAACACATTTCTGATAGCTACAACTAGGCTTAGGCCAGGGTGGGAGGTTAGTGTCACTAAACAGTGGGTAAAATCCAAGAGGACTGTTAAACATTGCAAAGGGTAAAGGACCACAAAAAATGGTCTGGCCCCAAATGTCTGTTATTCCAATGTTCAGAAGCCTTCTCTTACAGTATCAATCCCAGGCCTTAATCCCAAGACCTGTTGAGTTCAAATCTGTGTTTTTCTCAAGGTTCCCAGAGAATTTGAGAAAATTTGAGAAGCAGTACCTGAGGTTGGTGGCCCTTTATTTGAAGACCTCAAAAATCCTCAGAGGGCCTATGGAATTGCAAAGTGCTGGGCCCCACTTCCAGGATTTAAAATTCAGGAAGCAGACAGGGATATGAGAATTCACAATTCTAGTAAACTCCCAGGAATGGCAGCAGGTCTAGAAACTGACAGCAGTCAGCTGGAAACTGGTTACATTGAAGTCAGCTAAGACAAAGACTGAGGTCTAAGGCTCTTGGGCTCAGGACCCAAGGGATTACTGAATGCAGTGCTGTCTATTTAGGTTGCAAATGTGGGACACTGTTGTTTCCTTTAATGTGTGTTATACTAACAAAGACCTATTGCTTCTCTCCAAAGATGGCGCCCCTGAGGTCTGTGATATTTTCTTACCTACACAGGAGGCTGGGCGGCCACTCCAGGCCTTGTTGTCCATACAGGTGACTGTCCGCTCCCCTTTCAATGTGTATCCTGGTGAGCAATAATACTCACACCGAGAGTTAAAGTAGGCACCATCAACACACTTAAACCCTCCATTTGCCGGCATGGTAAGGGTAGGACATCGCTTTTCTGTAAAGGATAGAATCAGACATCCAGTATTTCTTAGTTTTTGTCAAAAAGTTCAGAAGCCAGACACTCGGAAAACATGCAGTGAACATTTTTCTACAATAAAACATGTGGCATTAACAAAATATAACATGTGGCATTAATCAATATAGCAAGCATGTGGCATCGGCCTATGTGCCACACAGAAGACATGATGCTTCCTACCACAATAGGTCGCTTTGGTATTCCAGCCACAAGACTGTCCTAGACTGAATTCCCCAGAAGCAAGCCCGAGAGAAGGGAGAACATGTTGCCGGGCAGATCAGTGAAACAGGAGGAAGAGGAGAATGGTGATCAGGGCTCCAGTAAGGAGTGATAGAGAGCTTCAGCTCCTTCCAGAGCACACTGGAGGGAAGATGGCAGTTCCCACTCAAACTCCACACCCGGAACCACACTGTACCAGCCATTCATTGGGCAGAACTGCCTATGGGAAAGCTTTTCTCTTCTATGGAAAAAAAACAGTTGGGCAGATGGTTCATTCACACTTGTAATTCTAAGATGCAGGAGACTGAGATGGGACTTCTTCCTAGACTATAATAAACAAACAAACAAGTAAACAAGAAGTAGATAGGGAAGCAGCAGCAGCAGGAAAGTTTTCTGAAAGAGGTTTTCTTCTTTGTCTGAAGAAAGCTGAAGAGGGCAAGTGTCTGGTGACACTAGCCTGCAATCCCAGCTACTTAGGAGACTGAGGCAGGAAGATGGCAAGTTCAAAACCAGCATGAGCTAACAAATGAGTTTTCATCAGCTTTTTGACTTGATGAGACCCTGCCTTCACATAAAGCTTTGGTTTTGTCTTTTGTTTTGTTTGTGTTCTTAAAGCTAGGAATACAACAGATTTTCTCTGCATTTGCTAGGCCCTGGGCTCACATCCCAGTTCTAGGGGAAAATGGAAACAAGTAATTCAACAAGGCCCTCAGAAGATACCAGAAGCCAGGAAAAAGTCACAGGGAAATGTGGTAAACATTGCTAAGTGTGTACTACAAAGATCCAGTTACATCATCTGCATATTCTGGACCACATGGCTATAGTCCAGAGCAGCAGTTTCCCCAACCCTGTCTATCATGTACTGTGCAAAACTTGAATGTATGTTGAAGACTTGGAAAGCATTGGGTGATCAATAAGGCTTGGCAACTTTATATAATAAAAGCATCCAAAATGGGCTTCATCAACGCTATACCATCTACAGTCTTAATACAAGAGAACTGGTCGTGAAGGAGCGAGAAGATGTCACTAGTCTGATTGCCTCTGGAATTAGCCAACAAGCAAGGAACTCAAAGATGAGCTTTGAGACCTTGCCCCTGAAATGTAACATCAACTTCTTCCCAGGCTCATTCCATTTTACACAGGCTTAAAATCACTTCTTCAGTGACTCTCCCTTGCATCCCTAATTCCTACTCTTCAGAACACTTGTTTTTTGTGATTTTCTTTTTCTTTAATCTCCTACCCAGGAGCCTCTAGTTTAGAACCCTTCCTGTATCCATCTCATGTCTTTCACCTCTACCTAGCTACCTGTACAAGCCCTGGAAGTTTATTTACTACTAAATCACCAGCAACTCTTTGGAACCTTGTATTTACTGAACAAATGTCACTGGTGTGCTGGAAAATCTATCTACTCTTTCCTCAAACAGTGTAGCATATCCTTCTTTGGAAAAGAAGCACACATCTACTCTGTTATAGAAATCGACTGACTTTAAATCACTACTTGGTGAAAAGCTTCATCTCACAGCAAGACAGTTTTGTCCCTGAAGACTCAGCACAGGTCTAGTCTACTCACGTTTGCAGATGACCTTATCCGACCAGCGCTTGTTAGACTGGCAGATGAGCTGGGAAGAGCCATGAAGCTCATAGCCCTTCCTGCAGCGAATGTCACACCTGGTCCCCAAGGCTGTTTTGTAGTATCCCCCAGGAGGGGCCCTGCAGTACACATCCCCATACTTCACCTTGATAGGAGAGCACCATGGTGTGTCTACAGGCAGAAACAAAGGGAGAAATAAAAAGTGACAAGTTTTGACAATGCAGCTCTTCATTCTGTGTTCCCAGATTGGCTACATTCCAGATTCTGAACTTCTAATGCTGACCTGTGTATTAGGTACCTCTAGATAAGAAGGCTATAGCTGTGAGTCTGAGTACCAGACATAATTAAATATGAATCTAAGTTCCCTTAAATAGTTGTTTGATGTGGCCAAGCTACGTCAACTCTCTGAGTCAATACGTATGCCAATAACAGGCAAATGTTATAAGGGATAGACTGTGTGTATATTTATCACCTAGCACAATGCTGCAAACAAAGTAAATGCTCAATTACCTTTTGATCTTTCTAGTATTTCCCTTAATATGATATCCTGATCTACTGAGACTAATTGACGCCATAGTGAATTTTCACCCTAGCTATCTATATATAACACACAGAGTCAATTAACTGTGTTTCTCCCCGCTATATGCATATTTCTCTGTAAAGAAAACCACAGTACACTTGTTTGCTAATTTGAACTAAGCTATATCAGTGTTCATAATAGAGTGTCATTTTGGCTTACACTCATGGAACAATTGCTCCAAGTAAGGAAACAATCTCCCTTTTCAGATGTCATACTCCATTTAGGTAAGAATGACACCCCTCAGATGAAAAATTTGATTTTGCTTTTATAGTTGCTGCCTTGTCTAGTTTTTGTGAACTTGACACAAACTGGAGTCACCCAGAAAGATGAAACTTTAATTGAGAAATTGTCTCCATCAGATTGGCCTATGAGCATGCCTATAAGGCATTTTCTTGAATAATTATGGATGGCCCAAATTATGGGTGCAGGTGGTGCCAACTCTGAGTGGGTGATCCTGGGTTATGCATAAGAAAGAAAGCGGAACTAGCTATGGAGAACCGGCCAGCTAGCAGCATTCCTGCAGAATCTCTGCTTGAGTTCCTGCTTTGGCTTCCCCTGTTGGTGGACTATAACCTGTAAGCTCTCCAAAAGAGCCTTTCCTCACCTAGTTGCTTTAATCAGTGTTCTGTCATGGCAACAGAAAGGCAAACTAGGACAACTGTCCAAAGCATACATAGGATGTCACTAATAAAGCTGAATTTCTCCCCTATCTTTGGAATGTACTCTTGAGAACCATGCAAAGGAACCTTCCATGCAAAGGAAGGGCAAGACTACCTTCTTGAAGTGAAGGACTTCCTGGAGTGGCTAGTCCATGCATCTCTTCGATATCTTGGGGTCAGGGACAAAGTCCCTGAAGTTTGGGGTTGAGTGTAGTGTTAATGCATTGGACCAGAGCTATGTTCCTATAGCTGCCAACTCTTCATTCCTCTCCAGCACCTATGCTACCAGTATATGGAGTAAGTTCGCCATCATGTGGCCACAAAGGAACACAGGCCTCCTTCCTCTTCCCAGGAATGCTCTCCTAAGGATGTGCTTGCTTCCCACTGCTCATCAACCCTGGTAAAGGATCCTGTCCAGGTTTTGGCAAAAGAACACTTGTTTACTCTGATGCTTCTAGGTTCCGTTTTGGCTAATACTTTTATCATATGATGGTTTTCAGAAAGTTGTGAGTGGATTGGAAATTTAAGACTCACATAACATTCCCTAGATGGCCTGGGTAGAAATGATAAGGACATACCCTACAGTTTATTTATTCACTTCCACCATGTGGATTCAAGATGTGCAAAGGACACATCTGGCCTACAGGCATTTCAGGAACACTTCCTTTCGGGAAGATTTTATACATGCAATCTACACATACTATGTATATTTATAATCTATGTGAGTAAGATGTCTTTGTGTTTTTATATATAACGAATTCATATATTTGAATGCAGCATGCAATTGGCAGATTTTTCTCCCTTATTTGAACTCTTCAAATTCTTCTGTCGGTGCTGACTACATATCCATACGCTGTTGTCACCATGGGGAAGGAAACAAAATCTTGTATTCCTTTATTTGCAAAAGGCATTTAATTTTTTATTATCTTCTAAAACAACTCTTTGGAAGGTATTTGAACAGTTTATCAGTTTTTTAGTAAAGACGATGGGAATGTGAGTGTGCGTGATTTGAATTTAAAGTGCAGCCAAGCACCAAGTCAAAGTAAATGAACAGAATGTTTAACGTAGAGGCTAGGAGGAAGGAGGCTCTTGTACTGTTGCAGTTAAGACAAGGTGTATCAAGTAGACATCCAAACTGATTAATCAGGAAAGTCTTTGCAACTCCCGGGGCCAATGTGATAAGCACTCTAATTAAACGGAATCCGTGGAGCTGACAGCGTGGTGCAGCAGGCTAATGAGGAACTACTAGTGCATCATGGATGTGAGCCAAAACACCTGTTCAGACTCAAGTGCAGCCTGAGGGAGGGACACAGGACTTACTCCCTACTCTCTATAACCCTTTGTATCATCTTCTATAAACACCGGATAATTCTGACACATCTCTATGCGCCTTCCCCTTCCCTCAAGTGATGTGAATATACTATGGTATCCCAAGTAAAACCATCAACCTCTATTCTGAACCTCTATTCCCCTGCCCTGAAATAAGTAAATAAATACAATCAAATAAGTACATAAGATGTCATATACTGAGAGCCTGATGTATGCTATCTAATCTTTCTTCTTTTAAATTTGACTTAATTCAAATCAGTTATTGGTTATATACTCTATAGCAGATGCTGGGAGGAGCTTAACATTCCACAGCTAAAGTTGCAGTTAAATCATGGTTAACCTGTAAAGTTTCAAATGAATGACCCTTAAAAGCTGAGGTGTCGCTCTTGAATAGAACTCTTGTCTTGCCCGAGGTTCAGTCTTTATCATAACAGCAATAGCAAGAAGTAAACAACCTTAATTCACTATTGTAAAATTTTAAGGTATATAGCTTGTTTTGCTATGTGTGTATATACATATAAAATATATAGTGTGAGGATTCCTACAGGCAAGCCACCTAACTGACAAGAGAAATAATTTATCATGAAAATATTTATTTTTAGACATTCAGGTCAGATTCTAGGGTAGGCGTATTTTTGGATATATTATTTACCTTGCAAGGCTATGCAGTGAGGAGGGAACATCAACCACAATGAACCTAAGACACACGCGGTGACCACTATGTGTAAGAGTCTCTTCATACTGCATGTGTGTTAGGACTCTTTTAAAACTAGGGATTCACAGAGAGCTTTAAAAAATAACTTTGAGGAAGTCTTATGAATCAGAGCACCTCCTTACCTCAGACATCTGACTAGAAATTTGTGATTGGTTGGATTGCTTAATGCCCACGACAATGAAGGTAGGCACTATTTCATTCAGAAATCAAAGCAAAAATGGAAACATACCTAGGTACAGGTACCAGCAATTGTTTAGAAAGACTTCCCCCTTCTTGGGAAAGTAGCTGAAGGACAGTCTTTAGGCAAAGGCTGACCAGAACTATTTCAATTCTCTGATAGCTCAGAAGTGTCACACAGTCTAGGGTAGTATTTTCCTGCCAGAGTGTGAATGCATTTCTTGGATCAAATGGTAAAATGAAACTTTACCAGACTGTTTCCTTGAGAGTTTTCCTCTGACCTGAGAGGAAGCTGTTCCAAACAAAAAGCATTTAAATTTACCTTTGTTTCTGCCCTGAGCTCCCTGGCTTCAGGGAGGCAGCAGCAGGAGTAGTTGGGGATAGACTTACCTGAGCCAGCACAGAAGCGTCTTCCTTAGGATTTAGTTACCTACTGGGAGTGGAGACCAGGGGGAACTGTGGGGAGTTGGATTTCCTACTGTTAAGTTAAAATTCATTTTGGCAACAGCACATTTTACTTATCATCTTAGGAGCCATGCTGGGCTTGGAAAAGAGCATGAGACAAGCTCATGAAAATCAAGGTTTCCCCTTCTGCGTGCAGTCAGTACATTAGCAGCACTGGGTGCAGCACCCACCTCAGGCGGTTTGCTCTGCACACTTCTGGCTGTAATGTATGAATCAGCCTTGATTTTCACTATCATCAGCTCCAGCTTGCCTTGGCAGAAGTGAGGACAGTAAAGAAATTTAGGAGAATAAAATGACCACGGGGTGCTGACAGGCAGCACTCCCGAACTTTCTTTCTTTTTCCTTCTGTTTTCCTAATGCAAGGATGAGTGTCTACGCACATTTATTTTTAAATATTGATTTTCCTGGACAGGCAATTAGAATGCCAATGTGTTGTCTGGTCACTTTATTATAGTCTGCTCTGCGAAGCTTTAAAGAAATATCTCCTGGCATCAGCAGGTCCTTGTCAGCACATAAGCAAAGCATTCACCTTTATAGAGAGAGTGTGAATACCAGACTCCATCATCTTCTACTGGTGAGTCTCCAGATCCTACAATAAAAAAAGAACAGAAACTGCAGCAAGAAAAGCCACACAGTATGGGCGCATATTTCAAAGCATTGCTTTGGCATCGTACATGCAAGGGGTGCTTTTAGATTGCAGATCCAAGAGTAGAAGATTTTGTGGCCATTCATGAAGGGACAGGGACCTCTCAGAGTGAACCTGGCTCGGCTGGGGTGGCTAGAGCCAATCAAAATGAGCCTCAGACTGTTTTTGGAATCGTCACAGGGCCATATGAAATTCTGGAATCGGCAAAGAGAGAGAAAGTCAACTTCACTCTGAGATGATGCCAATGTATACGAAGCTCATGCCAGAGCAGACATCATAAAATGTGTGTGACTCAGACCCAACCCACAGTTCCTCCAGTAGACAAAGATAAACCAGTAGAACCTTGTGTTTGTAGAACCTACAGTAGGTCCATCTGCTGGAATGAATTTGGATGGAGATCAAGAAAGGAAATCAAATGTCTTATCTTACAGCTGCCTTGGGACATCGGTATTACAACTGCGGACTTGGTGTTTGTTCAGAGTTCCTTGCCCAGCTGAGGCTAAAGTGAAATCTCTCAAGCAGTCTTACTACCCTCAAATCCCATAGGCTGGGGGAGGGGGGAGACAATATGATTTGAAATAAACTCATCTGGAAGTTAAAGTCAAGTCATTTTGAGGATCTTCGATATGAATTCCCATGGGGAGTGGATCTTTAACCCTTGAAGCAATCAGCATGTCTCAGGCTTCAACACAGCAATCCTGAATGTAGGTATTTCATTCTATTCACCAACCCTTACATCAGCACCATTCAAGCCACAGATTTACTTCCCAGATACCTTCCACTGAAATCAAAAAGGAAAGGCTCTCGGAGGAGCTTATTCAAGCCTCCATCAGGGTGAGCTCATAATTAATGGTGACACCTCATTTCACTGGTGTCCTTCAGGAGAGATGGAGAACATAGAAACCAAAAGCAAGACGGGGAGCACAGCTGTAATGTGACTGACCATTTGGAGAAATTTTCCCAACCAGAGGAAGTCATTCCTGTGTTCTGTTTGGTAGTAGATTTCTGTACCTGAGCCCTTGGCTACCCAGCTGTACGAAGTTATGGACTTTTCATTGCTCATTGTCAAATAGTAAACATGTGGACGTGAAACTCAGGAATGCAACCTTGGAGCGTAAATCAAAAGCCTGGTATCAGATCCCTTGATACAACAGTATTCCACTGCTGCAAGTCTATCCCAAGGAAATGACAAAATTCTGCGTGAGTCTTTAACCATGCATGAACACTGATCACACACACACACACACACACGCACGCACGCACGCCGCACTCGCGCTCACAATCTGCTCAATACCCCAGTTAAATAGTCCAGAGGATTCAGCATGAACTGGCACCCACCCATTCCATAAACTTTTTGTCTACACTGGTTTCCTTAGTTTTTTGTCTATTCTGCACAGCTTCTCCATTAGTCCGTCATTTAGACTGTTTCTTGGAGCTACAGATTATGTCCTTTTCTCCATGCTTCTCCCCAGTCCAATCACATTCACGTAGCTCACTTTAACTGTCCCCTTGTGCTTATGAAAAATCCATTATTTCCAGCCTCAAACTATCAAAGGCTAGAACTTTAACGGTGCATGTGGCTCCAAATCACAACGAGAATGTAGCCCCCAAAGCACAGATCCCTACATTCTTAGAATGGGCTGGATTTCCTATTAGGAACAATTTCTTTAATTCTACATACCTAAGATTCTGAACCAAGACTGAAGAAGTCAAGCATTGGCACAGATTCTGAGACTACATGGGTGTCTGGCATATAAATGACAATTGCCCTGAACAACCACAGAAGTGCCCATCTTGTGATCAAATATGGCCTGCAGGGTTGATCTTTTCTACAATAAATCATATCAACAGTCAAGCCAATATTCCCAGCTCTTACTGGGAATAGGCAAAGGCTGGGTCCTGAGGAAAGACACCTCAGCAACTCTGTATTTCATGAGCATTATATCACCCCTGCCCACAGTACTTAATATTAATTGTTTGGTGCAATGGTTACATTTCTTGGTGCCTGGGTCTAATTTCTTAGCTGGACTGAATTTGCAAATTCTTTATCGAAGGCACTTTTGTCTTGTATATCATAATAATACAGCCAGTTATTCAAGGTTTAGAGAGCCAGGAACCCTAAAGACTTATTTCATAGCGACTTGTTTTCAACCACAAATATTTTGTGTAACAAATGATCACACTGTAAATATCTATGAGTAGATGCGCCACGGCAAACATTGTTTAGGGGCTCCCATTTACAGGATCTCCTGTTTCACTGCTCCTTGGTGCTTTGGAAGTAGGAAGTTTACAAAACATAGTACCTAGATTCCCCTACCCATAGACCGTGGACACATCTGCATTTTAGAGATTTGAAAGATGAAAGGAAAAGGGCATTACTCTTTGTGATTATTGGTAGTTTTTACTATTTGAGAATTTGAAACATGCAATTTTGATAAGATCCACCCATCCCTTCTGTTCCAATCCATCCTATATTGTCATTACCATTTTCTCATCCAACTTCATGTGATCTCCCCCTCCCCCTCCCCCTTTCCCCCCCCCCTCCCCTTGGAACTGCATCCCTGAAGAAAACTGTCCCTCTCACACAGAGAGAAGTCATCAATTGCAATATCTACAACTAAGGGTGGGTCTTGCCTCACCAATGCTGGAATTTTGGCTGGCTTGACCTTGTGCATGCAGACCCAATGACAGTGAGTTCATGTGTGTAGAGCTTTTCGTGTCTCATGAATACTCCTTCACTGTAGACATCAACTGCCTCAGGCTCTTACAGTCTCTCTGCCCCTCTTCTGGGATGATCCCCGAGCCTTGGAGGGGTGTGTGATATAGATGTCCCATTTAAGACTGACCACTCCACAGTATCTTATTCCCTGCATGTGGACCAGTAGTGGGTCGATGTGTTCATCACCACCTATTGCAGAAAGAAGCTTGTCAGGTGAACATTGAAAGATGCGCTATGTGTATGAAGGTGGGACTTAGGAGGCAGTTTACTTTATCCATTTAGCAGAATAAGAGTATTAGATTCTCTCCTCAAGGACCTATGAAGTAACCAGCCATGGATTTTGGTCCAGCTGATGGTAACTATATTAGCTGTTAAGCTGGCTTTAATTACAACCAGAAAATATCTGGTTACTCTCATAACATTTTTGCCACTACTTGCTCCAGGGGTCATGTCTTGACAGACCAGTCAGTATTATAAGTCACAGGATTTATAGCTGAGTAAAACGGTAGATTAGCCCACCCCCGGGGGTGTGCATTAGACCCTCTAGCAGTATGCCTGCCATCCAGTAGAGATGAAGTACCCACATCAATACCAGCTTGCTTTCTCCATTCCCTGTGACTCAAATATCTGGTGTCTTCAACAATAGAGTCTTATCAATTTCTAGACAATAACTAAGAGCAATAGCAATGCCTTGTAATATTTGGATGCCTATAGGTCCATACAGACTAATAACTCCAAAAAGAGGTAACTCATTCCTGTGGTATTATGGACACATTGTCAACCTGTGTACTGGCTAGTTTTACATCAACTTGACACAAACTAGAGTCATCAGAGAGGAGGGAACCTCACTTGAGAAAATAACCTCCATAATATCAGGTTGCATGCAAACCTGTAAGGCATTTTTTAAAAATTAGTTATCAATGTGGGAGGGCTCAGAGTATAACCCTCTGTCAGATGTAAAGATTTTTCCTCCCATTCTGTAGTCTACCTTTTTGCTCAAATAGGGTCCTTTGTTGTAAGAAGCTTTTACATTTTATGAAATCCCTGTAGTTAATTGTTAGTCTTAGGGAAGGTCTTATTCATTTCCTCAGTTGTGTGTGCAGGAAATATGCTCTAGGGGCTGTGTTGGCAACAGTGAGGTACCATGCCCACTGGACCCTCTCCAACATTGTAGGGTAGAGTAGATAGAATGTGACATTGGCAGTGGTGGTAATCAAAGAATCAGCACTTTGATAACCTTGGAGTAACAGGAGCATAGTAATATTGACCGCTCATACAGACTTCCTCACTTCCCTTGTTAGGGTCCATTTGATTTTGTAAGTCTGTTATTTCTTCCATTTAATTTTCTTTTGCCCCAAATGCCTAGTGATGGTTGTTTCCTACACTAAACCCTAGCAAAGATTTAAGTGAACCAACACAGAGATGAGTGTGTGTGTTTTCTGCTGCTACAGTAAAGTTCTGAAATGTCCCCCTAGGTTTGTGTGTCAAAAACCTAGTCCTCAGGGTGGCGATATTGGAAAGTTGTGAACCTGTTAAGAAATGGCATTGAATGGGAGGGTCCTTAGGGCATTGGTGGTGAGTCCTTGAAGAAGATTATAGGGCAGTTAGACTCCAGCCATGCCTCCCATGATATCCTCTCAGGGATATCATAAAGTGAGCAGCTTTCTCTGGCCCATACACTTCAATAATACTCTGCCTTGTTGCTGGTCTCCAAACAATAAAGACAGCCGGCCAGGAACTGAAACTGTGAGACAAGAGAGTTATTTCATTCTTTTTTTTTCTATTTTTTTTTTTTACTTTTTATTGGATATTTTACTTATTTACATTTCAGATGTCATCCCTTTTCTCCATTTCCCCTCCCTAGAACCTCCTATCCCATCCCTGCTCCCCCTTTTTTGCTTTTATGTCATTTTAATTACGTGCATGTATTAAGGTCAGTTCTAGGTCGAGGAAATAGCAATATAATAGATACAAATAGTCAAGGAACAAGCAAGACAATAAACACAGATAGTCAAAGAACAAGCAAGGCATTAAACAATTCTGTGGACACTCTCATGATCACTGTTTCTAAGGGCTAATCAGGATGACCAAAATATACGCACCAACTTCCCTGTCCTAGCCCAAAGTCATTTTCATGTCTGAAGCCTACTTCCTTGTTCTAGCCTAAAATTTAGATTCCTGTCTAAAAACTACTTCTTTGTTGTAGCCAAAGATTTAGGTTCCT